ACAGAAAGTATCTTGAGGGCCTAGTTAGTAGGAGCCTGCTTTCCCCTGGGGAAAGGGACCCTCTGCCAGTGTGGTTTCTTGGCACAGGGTTGACAAGGTTACTGGTGATTTTCCTCCTTCCTCTGGCCTCTCTGTGTGCTTCTGTTCCACCCCAGTCTTCTCCCTTTCATTGATCCCAACAACTTGGGACAGTTTCAAGCTGGAGAACTGACTAGAAGCAAAGGCTGGGAATGCTCAGTGTTGGGGAATGTTAGGATTTTATGGGGAGGGCTGGAAAGTCTCCCGGCCATGGGCACTTCGAGGAACTGGATTCCAGGCAGGGAAGGAAAGTAAAGGAAGTTAAGAAGTACTAGGAGGTGGGTGGGAAGGGAAGGGAGGAAAATGGGGGCACCCAAGCATGCGAGGCAGAGTGCCACAGCACCCCACTTCTGCCAGGGTCACAGTCCCTTGTTGACCTTGAGTAGCACCACCCTGTGTGCAGAGATGCTGTCCTGCCCCATCTGGGCCTCCTTGGTAAACTGTCCCCATGTGATGATCCAGACCCCGGCATGCAGACCTGATGAGCCAATAGACAAGGTCCTTCTTCCTCTTCTGCCTTTCAGAAGATTAGCTGTGTCTCAGTGGCCACAGTTCCAACTGTAGGGACCAATCATGACTTTTTAATCTCATGGCTGTGGCCAGTGCTTGAAATATAGCAAGAGAGAGTGTAGTGAAGGAGAGAGAGGACAAGAAGAGAGAGAGGACAAGAAGAGAGAGAGGACAGACAGAAGGGAAAAGCAAACACAGAAGGGGTGGCTCCCTGTCCTCCTCCTCTCTGTATGCCCTTGTGTGAGGACTGCTGCTTATGGAAGAACTGGATGAAGGGAAGGCCAAAGATTCGGCATGCCCAGCCCTGCACCATGCCTTTTTGGTGCTGCTGCCCAAGCCCAGCCATGTCTAGCCTGCATCATTTGTGTATATGTTATGAGTCAACGGTCTGTGTCCCATAAGCTGCTCTCAGCCCTTTGCCCTCAGAGCATGGAGTTTCCTAGTGCAATGTTTTGGCTCCAGGAAGAGTTAACAAGGGGCCTGAATGCTAAGGATCCCTCATGGCCATCAGGTCCTGGTGGCCTTTTCAGTGGCAGACATATCAACAACCTCTGGACCAAATGAATTTTAAACACCTAAAAGGATGCATTTCAACCATCCTTCAGCACGCCATTACCTGAGTCTCCAAATCTGCTGGGTTGCTCTAGGTACTTTCGGGTTTGCCTATCTTTGGTATCATCCACCCCTGGCCACTTGAGCTATCCCAGCGTCCCCTGTAGCGGTCAGCTACACACAAGCCAAGGCCACCTTCAAGCGAGCTCCCTGTGGCCCCAGCATTTTACAAGGACACCCCATCAGGCCTGGCCGTTTCCCTGGGTGAGGGGCTCGAACTCCAGTCCCCATGCTTGAGTGCAAGCCCTTTAGCCACGGAGCCATCCCGCAGCCTCCAGGCTCCTGTGACTTGCATACATGGAAGCAGTTCTGCACTGTGAGTGCGCCCCCTGCCGCCGGCGTCTCCTCACTCTCCGCCACACCCCCTGTTTCTGTCGGCCGACACAGAACCTGCCTGTCCCTTTAACTGGCATGTACCAAGTCCTCCCGGGTTGTGTTTCCGCTCCAGTCCCTGTCCGCAGGGGGCGTTTGTCCACCGAGCTTCCTGCGGTGGGAGGCCGAGGTGCGGCTGGCGTCGTTGGGTCTGCGGGGCTGAGCGGGGCTGAGCGGGGCTGGCGGAGGGGGAAG